CACAACATCACTCACTCGGATTATGAGCCATGGGACAATTTGCGCCCGACCATCTCTTCCCTGCGATCCGGGCGCCCGTGCTTCGTCGATCGTCAGAACCTTTGGTGCAAGCTTCCTCTCGGCGCACCATCGCCATAGAAATGACGTCACGCTACAACCGCCACCTGCCCTCATTCTACATGAGCCCGGTTGCATTGACTGGCAGAGACCCGGAAGCCAAGGTCGGTTTTTGGGCTACTTCCACAACTTTTTCCTTCGTGAAAAGTCGAGACCATCTGTCTCTTAAGTTTCATCTCTGCTGCGCGCGTTGGTTACTGTAGCCTGGCAGCCCAGCATCCGAAACTCTACATCCTGTACTTCAGGCGGTAGACTGCTTGAAGATCACTCCAAAAATCATTTTGCAGGGCGGCGCTGCAGCGCTGCTGACGCGGCCGCCTCCGCAGGACGCGCGTGCTAAGTCTGCCAGATCCGTGTTGCCCGAAGCACAACGAGCCCGATGACCCGGATTGTGTGACTTGTCGGCGCGCAACGTTTGCCGAGCCACGTCGAAGACCTTTACTGCCAGGGGAGTGATTCGGGTTGATCCGGAATGGTAGCAGACAGAGCTCCTCGTTGTTCAGGGTGGTGCGGCAGGGCTGCTCACCCGTCCGCCCCCACAGGACCTACTTGTACCATGTATTTACTTAGATGGCATTCGCCGGTCAGACTTTTCACGTGTGAAGGTTGCAAGCAGCTGGTCAAACTTGATTTTGTCGCCAGTGCTTCCTGATTGAACGAGAGTCAAGGAACGTGATCAGAATGCGAGCGGAATACGATGTTTACAAGCAGTATGCCGGCGCGCACTACCCGGAGCAAAGGTTTTGCAGTTGGGATGAGCCGTGTTCTCGTTGTGCAGGGCGGCGCAGCCGCGCTGCTCACGCGGCCGCCTCCCCAGGACTTGGGGACTTGGGAGTTGGAGTTCCGTTGCCTCATGTCTGCCTATGTGTCGCCAGGAGATACTCAGCCTTTTTAGACCCATGTAGATCTAGGAATGGGAGTCAGCGAATGAGCTGCTGTGAATCGGAGTTTTCGTACCTTCAACAACAGCAACGCCACATGAAAATGAAGGGGATAGCTTACGTGTCTGAAACCACATTTCCAACACCGAACTTGTTTTTCTGATTCACAGCTTAACCTCGGAATTAGACCATCCCGGACAGCGGGGGAGGAAGAAAACATCGGCGAGCCAATGATGCGAAATCGATAAGGTTCCTCTAATTTGATGACGAAATAGGCCCACGGACATTCCCCTTGTGGCCCACGAAAAGTTCAAAGCGAAAGGGTGGGAGGGGAAGCAGTTTAGGGTTTGGGTTTGGTGCTTTGGGGGTTTCAAATTCTGACCTGGAAGTCTTATAGGTTCTGACCAGGATGACGAATCAATTTGTGGAATACTGCAGAGTATTTCACGGTCGTCCTGGGCCAAATTTTGGATGCTTGCTCCAAACAACGCAGAACCTCCCATTATCGACGCCCCGGGCAACCCATAGCCATGGTTAGGGACCCGAGGTAACAGTTGCGGAGTCGTAATTCATCCTTTTTGCTGGTAGGCATCTCACGCTGGTTCGCCCGATAGTATAACAAGCCTTCCCCTCCCCACCCTGCAACTAAGCTCTCAGATTTTGTCAGCATGGCCGGCGGCATCTGATGGTAGCTTCCTGCGTGCCAGCGTCGTCCTTGAGGAGGGAGGACTCCAGACACAAGCAGTGCCGCCGAGTCCTGCTCTCAGCGGCCTTAGCATCAGAAATCACAATGTGAACTGCTGCAAGGATGTCTTTCACAAGCTGATGGCAGATATGGACAGCACTCTCTGGCAAGTTCCATCAGGTGAGGAGGCAGCGTCTCCTTCACAACCAGCATCTCAGGCCACACCAGCCCATGCAAGGGTTCAGCACGCCAGGTTTTGCTTTGCACAACTTTGAGAACATAATGTCGAATGCCAGTGTGATGTATTTGTGCAGCCTACTGAAGGGAGGCCTGCGGGCGTGATCCCCGTCTGTTTCGTTTATGCGGCATGTGATGAAAAGGTTGCTGCAGAAGAGAGGCCATGTGCATCTGCTTCTGTCCCGCGCTCAACCTGCCGACGCATTTCCTGGCAAATGTGCAGATGTTGTGCGGGCGTTTCTCGCCAAAACCGAAAAACATGATGGCACCCTAAATGACTGTGAATGAGCACCTTGCGTTGGCTCCTGCAGTTTTTATGGGCAGAAGCCGCAACGCGGTCCTAAGAAGAGTTAAATATGCAAAGTGAATCAGAATCTGCGATATTACATCAGCATCGACGGAAAGACTAGAGAGAAAGACAGCCCAGATATTTTGTTATCATGAGGTTCGGGCAAACAAGAACGTCGATTTTCGCTACGTGCAATAAGGCGCAAGATTGGGAGGATGACTACGACCTTCCAGTGCAGAAGGATCTTGGTGATGGATGGGATGGATACGGTGAGCTTGCCCCGGGCTGAGTTTATTTACCAGTCCCCCTGCCTGTGGTATCCTGTGGTCATTCAGCTGCAGCATGATGCAGCTATTGCGTGCAAGAACTAGCTGATGCATACTGATGCACCGAGGAGGATTTCGAGGCCTCGGAGCCACCGCAGCCGGAGCCACCAGCGCAGGAGGCTCCGGCAGAGGTGCCTTTGCAGCATTTGGCAGAGCCTTAGGGCGGTTTCTCTCGCACTCGGGGCAGTGTCCATGGCTAGGATGCAAACCTGTGTTCAGTTGGGGATTTGAGGATTAAACGTGGCCGGTTCCTATGTAGGTCATACAAATGAGCTACACACGGTGTGTTTCGGGCCTGGGGCAGGGCATGTTCCGCTCTCCCTTTCAATCTCCTGCACATCCATGTAATGTGCTCAAGATGGGCAATACCTGCGCAAGGCAAAAACAGACGCGCCGAGTGCAGCGAAGCCGCAGGCCCGCGCGAAAGTGCTTCGATGTCTGCTGCAAAGCCGAAAGGGGGTTGTTCATGTTTCTGCTCTTGCAAGCTGCAGTGATTCAAGCGTTTCTCGGTCAGGAGGCCCAGGAGGCCAGTGAAGCTCAGGGGCTGACAGCCCCCAAAGAGGAGCCAAGGACTGTCCGAGACCTGACGGCCGAAGCACGGCCGAAGCACCACTGATACACTGAGCATGGAAGCCTTGCAGGAAGCAACCCAGACACATTTTCATCGCGAGCAGCTGGGTGGCAATCATGTGGTAGGGGTGTTTCTCATCACGGCTCATGAATCGCAAGGCATGTCAATGCAGTGCAGAATAGCTCGCAGGCCAGCCCGGAGTGGGCAAAACGACTCTGGTGCACAAGTTGCTGGAGAAGCTGTGCGAGGACTGCAGACCGGCTGCCATCGCTTGTTCTCCTTGTCACCTCTGCAGGAGGATGGAGAGGGCGGTGTGGATGTCCGAGGCGTCTCTCGCATCCAAGCTCATCTACCCATTCCATCCCATCCCCTGAAGGGTCTTGCCATCTCGTGCCATGTGCCCGAAGGTGCCCGTAGCTCCCTCAGAATGCTTTTGAGAGATCTTTGTTGCAGGTTTCTACACCGAAGAGGTCAGAGATCCGGAGTGCCGTGCCTTAAACATACGGTCTGTGTGGTGACCACTTCCCATGCGCACCTCTGCCAACAGCGTTGCCCTGAATCCTGCACTCTAAATCAGGAATCCCAAGCAGCGACTGGGCTTCGACGTCGTTCGCTTAGGCGCGGGGTTCCGAGAGTCAAGAGCTGCAAGGCATTGCGAAGCTGCGAAACCGACTTTGCCTTCGAAGCCCAAGTCCAATACTTCTGAGTGTTGAGGGTCGTTGCACCAGCGACATCTCCAGAGGGATGGAAGTCCAAAGTAGCAGACCTATTCGCGAAGGTTCCCGTGTGGTCCATTGGGACGCCCATGTACCTGTATGCCCGACGATCTTGCGGCCAAGCAGTCGCACGAACTTCTCAAACAATAGGGGCTGCTTTTGCAGACCACGAGATACCAGTAGTTGAGGAAGCGGATCTGCGATCCACCCCAATACGCAGGCTGTCTAGCGCCTGACGAGCAGACGCGGAGTGTCCTTGCCAGAGAGGGGAAGGCTGGATGCATGAGTTCCATGGATCATATTTATGTCTCGCAAGTGGATTTGCATCTTCGCAGTATGACAACTACTGGTCATGTTCTGCAAACTCCTAAGCTATAGTTTCTATATATATATGTATGTATATATATATACATATATATATATTTATACATATGTATGCCTCTATCCAGCTTCAACGTGTTCTGGTTAACCTGTTAAAACCAAATATTCTTGATGCCTATGTATTGCAATATAAATACCTCGGTTTTGCCATTCTATGTTGCTGGAACTTCAGCATGTGTATTTCGAGATGTAGCACTGGGCAATTCACAGGCAAGAAAAGTAAAACTCAGCAAGCTCCCTTGAGCTTATGGAGCTCCACGAAGCATGGTATGAGCCTGAAGCCTGAGCCCCCTAAGACTCTGGCGCGTGCCCTTTTAAGCCGTGGGTCGCCGCTTTACTTTTTATGGTAGTCTTGCTACGGTGGTGTCGTGTTGAAACAGCCGTGAAGAGCTAAGGCGGACTTCTGATTAGTACATGGATCCTCCTTCCGGAGAAACGCAATAGTCGTCGGCTCCGCCCGAATCGTTCTGCGGAAAGTTTGTTGGCAGGATGGAGGAGGACCGGAACCTTGAAGCTTCCATCATATGTCTCTTCAAGTACTGAATCTGAATAAAAGAAGGGAGAACCCACGAATCACAGGTCTCTGGTTCAAATGGTACTCGTAGGGTTTCAGGCTCCCCAAACTATGAAGCTCAAGCCGGCTGACTCCCCAAGTTGACCATAGCTGACTCTCTCACAGTCTAAGACTTCACAAGGCTCCTCAAACTTAAAAGGCCAAGTCTGGCTGCTTTGCCAGTTCTCCTCTTCCGCTGCTCTAAGGGGTGTTTGGTATATTGGGGGTAGGTGGCCCAGGCAACATGCAGCAATTTACAGGACTTAAACTTTTCGATGCAGACGCTCTTTCAAATTTTCCGAGATACTGTACTGACATCTACATCATAAAGCGCTTTCTTGCCGGCCGGCTCGCTGCTGGTATGAACGGCAAGGCGCCGCCAACGGTCGGCAAGTACACTGTCGACGTGGGCGCTTTCGAGGTGCGGCAATCGCTTAGTCAAAGGCTTGACCAGAATCTTGAGAGCAGTCGAAGGGGACCGGCATTCCTTTCTTCTGGTAAGCACGCGAGAAGCTGTGCGAAGCCCTGTGGGAACAAGCGCGTTAGTAGCCTCTCTGCACATCACTTCCGTCACTTCCCATGTATCTGAGTATCACCTGATCACGTGCCAACGCCCTGCCAGGGGTTCGCGCTTCCAGCGCTGGAGCCTCCAAAGGAGGATGCCCGGGGACGTTACACCTTTCCAGCAGAGCGGCCGAACGGGGCCACACTCCTCATTTTCCGATGCTTTCTGCATGATGGCCTGAATGGCTTCCCACATCTTCGCATGCTTCACGCGCGTAGTGGATTCGATAGGAAAAGTTCCAGCTTCCAGAGAATGCGCGGCTATTCAAACTGCCTGACGGCGCGGAGAAGGTGGGGTGGGTGGGTGTTGGACATGGCCCGTGTTGCCGGAGCTAAAGTGCCTGGCCACAGACGTCTCAATTCTCTCCTTGACCAGCTGGAGTTCCGTGTCTTGCAGGTCGTTAGCCTTCTCTACGAGCCGACCGATGAGGAGGTTCAAAGACGGCCTTCAACCATCACGACATGATGCGTGGGTTGTTCAAAAGGTCCTTTGAAGGATGGGGCTGACAAAAAAAGGAACCTACCTTATGGTCATTTTCTGGGACAGGCAGTGGCACTCAGTTCCTGCATGCGTCGGCTTTCAGGAAGGTGCCAACAGCCGCATACGCCTGGAGTTTGGCGAGGCCTGGGCATTCTGGCCAGCACGCGTCTTGCCGAAACAGCAGCTCTTCTGGCGCACTGCTAGGTATTGAATGTACCGCCCTCTTCTCTTCGGGAGGCCTTGGGTAGCACTGCGTCCCCGGTAGTTTCTTCTGCTCTGCGAGCTCACAGAGCTGTGCGAGGTACCGGAAGGGTGGAAGCCGGAAGATGAGGATTGTCCAGCAGTTATACTTCACCACTTGGTAGTGCTCTGATGACAATACTAGTAGCACGTTAGCACGGCATCCAATCAGGCCCGGCGAAACAGAGGGCAGATAGCGCCACAGGGAGATCTGCAGTCAATGTCACGAGCACGCCAGGAGGAGGATGAGGAACCGGTTCCTCGTCTTTGCGTTGTAGACGAGGCGTACAACTCAGTTCTCTCCTACTGTCAAAACTGGTCGTCGTATTGTTACGACATAATGACATAGGGATTGACGAAATGCGGATGATCCGAGAAACAAGGATGGCGGTGATGCTCTGTGTCCTGCGAGGTTGGCAAAATGGGTTTGCTTTCCGTTCAGTTCCCCAAGACGCTGGCTCGAGTGTTGGAGATAGCCATCCCCTCAGTTGTGCTTTAGCATGGAACAGTCTGGAACAGAGTCCGGAGTTTCGAAACACGGGCCATCCAGGACACGGTGCTGGCGACAGGGGTGCAGAGTGTCCGCCTCTCAGCGGTTCTTGGCCTGCTTGGCTGGGCAGACGGCATGGATATGCACGGACAGTCGAGAGAGCATCCTAAACAGGCCAAGGGTCAGCGTGACCCCGAAGCTGTCGAAGACATTAAGAAACGACCTGGCGCACGCCCGCAGCTCGAGACGGCTGTAGCTACGCGGATTCACACAGCTCAGAGCAGTCGCAGCTAAAGAGCAGCTGTCAGCTATGTGGCGGTCAAGCACAAGATGATAGTGAACGGTTGCTGAAAGCCGCTATCTCTGCTGCGCTGAAGGCGTTGTGAAGCTGACGCGCGGCAATCGCGATGCGGTTGTTGACCAGGCCGAGTCGAGGAGAAGTTTTTTGAAGATGTTCAAGTTTAATTCAAGATGCTAGAAAGGAAGATAACGGAATATACCGACATGTAAGACATGTATAGAAGTGACAGCCCTGCCACGGTGCAGACCTACGCGTTCCTGCGCGAAAGCCTTGGACTCGGCCCCCCGGGAACGGGGAAGCCCAAGCCCCGACGAGTCGACAAGAAGAAGCAAAAGGAGCTCGGGGGAAGAGAGAGGGGAAGGGACAAATGATGACGAATTATGCAGGTGCAATGTGTCAGCGCAATGGCTTTCCAACTGCACAGCCTGTTGTGCCGGTTGGAATGCCGGAGCCTCGCCGCTCATGCCCAAGCTGTGGCACAAGGAGGAAGAGCGACGAGCCAAAGAGCAAGCTGAGCGCGAAGCCCGCGAGCGCGAGGACGCATCTCAACAGCTTCTTGCCACATTCTTTGCATTCGTCTCCAAAACTTGGGTTCGAAGGAGAAGGAGAGGGAGGAGGCCGCTGAAAGGGAGAAGGCGGCCAGGACTGCCTTGGAGGGTCTCGTCAGATTTGACAGTGATTTGGAGAGCTTGTTAGTTGGCGCTGTCGGCATGTCTGTTTCAGAGCCGGCCTTTGATGAAGTGCTGGGGTCCAGGAAAGAGCGACAACTCGTGTGGAACTGAGATTGGACGATTGGACTCGCAGTGCCGTGTGCTAAACATTTCCATCCTGATGCCCGTTCCCAGTTTTTTTGCGCAAGATGCAGTCTTTTGGTGTTTTGTTATGTTTTTGCTGGCATTGAGGGATACAGTGAAAGCGGCTGGACGTTGGGAATTCAAGGCTAAGTATCCACGCTAAGCATGACATACTGGAAGCAAGTGATCTTGCCTGAAGCCGTACGATGGCCGGGAAAACCCCAAAAGTGTAGAGTGTAGTTAACCCGAATATTGTTGACAACATGTTGGCAAAAAACGTAACAACACGGGCAAACTGACCTCAGCAAAAGCCTCAGCAAGAGGCCAATGTCTTGAAAAGGCTTCCACGAGCTTCCCCACGAAAAGCTCGAAGAACCACGCAAGGCGACCAGTTTGTTTGATGTTCTGGCATTTGAAAGCTGGAAGTGCGAGTTTTTTGCACGAAGGATGATCAGTTAAACCCTAACTAGTAGTTAGCGCGTTTCGCACGCCATCATCCGACAACTCTTGCCGAAAGTAAGCTTCGCGCCTCCTGATTGCCGACATTTCAGTAGATTCGTGCCTGAATCTTTGCTCAACATTCGGCGCTGGCCACGCGAACAGGGATCCTGTTTGACTTTTGAAGCCTCCAGGCGCAGACGTGCAATCCAGGACGTCATGAGTAAGCCGTCCCATGATATCCTTGACACCCCGAAGCACCCTATAGCCTATGACACCCCATGGCACCCGAAACCCTGAATCCAATTAAATCCTAACCGTAGCCGCTCCTAGGCCAAAGAGAAAGCCCGAGCTGAGCGCTTGGCAAAGGAGAGCCGACCCTGAATCAAGCTTGAGCTTGTCTGTTGAACCTCTGAAGGATGGGCTCGAGTTCCTTCCGTGCGATTCGCCTTGAGATTCGGAACCAGAAACTAACGCTTTCTCTTCAGGAGCGTGCAGAGAGGGAAGTCGAGGCAGCCAAGGCTCGTGACCGCCACGTTGGTCTGCCACCGGGACATGAACAGCCTTGAAGAGCGGTTTGGCAGGCGCGAGCTGAGCGAAAGAAACGTGCCGAAGCGAGGCAGAAGGCCCGTTGACACCAAGTTTGACATGTTGCATAGGGCCCGCTTGGGCACCACTTATTGTGTTTGATTAGGCTGTCGAAGATGCCAAGAACGGTTTGGCACGTGACCAAGTCCTCAGGTAGTTTTGAAGCCTGCGGGTACAAGTAAAGATATCTAAAGCCAGATGTATGATTCTTGGCACTGTCTGGTGCGCTCAAGGTTCCTTGCGTGGAGCATGAAGAAGAGGACGTGGAGGCGGCGACTGTTGAGTGAGTTTCTTGAGATTCATTGTTGACGTGCGGGAAAGTTCGTAGAGACAAACGAGGTCAATTTATCACTGGCACTGACACTGTCTGCAACACGTACCGTTTGCCTCCTTATAGAAGCTCACCTTAGCCCTGGGCTAAAGAGCAGGGCCCGCTGACAGCGCACAGCATAGGACCATTGTCAACTGTGGTCCATTCTGAAATGAAAAGACGCCCGGCCAGCTTGGCACCAACAGCAAAGCTAGCGATGCAACAAGCGAAGATGCCCAGCCAGCTGAGGCACGAGCGCCAAAGCCAGGCAGGATGCAAAGCGAAGACACCCTGCGGTACAAGCTGCTCAGCCAGCCGGCACGAAGACACACAAGCAGCTGCAGCATCAGCAGCAAACACGGCTGCCCGGCCTCCGGTGACCAGGAAAATCTCGTACAAGACAACATGTTGGACCCAGTCTTGCCGTTGCTGTAGGCCATGGGGCGGAGGCAACGAGCGCCTGTTGTAAGTCCAGTGTTGCGTAACACGACGTATGGAACTGTCCCATTTTTTAACGCTGACTGTTCTCAAAATGGGCAGGGCGGATAGTAGAACACATTTGTTTGACTTTCCATGCGTTCTACTGTACATAGCTTATGCTGGGAGTTCGTGACTCTCTAGGCTCTATGTTGGACAAGAACCAACCCCGACATGGTTCACCCTGGCTCATCCGTATTTTCGAAAGGTCTTGCAGCAGGACAGCCCGAAAGCCCCCTCAAAAGGAGCCGTGCGCCCGCGGTAGGTGTAAAGGCATCCCAGGAACATTCTACGAGGGGGTGAAGAAGACCCGACTTGGACGTCTGGTCGATATCAATGCCATTTTGCTATCGAGACTGTTGCAAGTCCTAAGAAAGCTTCAAAAAATCGGCGGCGCCTTCTCACTATCAATTCTGACATCGCTGTTCGCGTCTTGCTCAAGCTTCATGGCAGTGGCTTTGACAGTGATACGATCCAACCGCATAACTACGCGGAGACACATGTGCACGTCCACAGATGGTCCGAAATACCAGCTGCTCGCACCAATTGTCACAGCCTCTCCAGACCAGCCGATGCGCACCTTACCAGGGCGCTGGAGGATGCGAGGCAAAGTGGCTTATCGCTACTGGCAGTAGTACTGCGGCAAACAATCGCAGCTCTCTGGCAAAGACTCCAGAAGGAAAATCTGTCGCGAATCCAACAAGAAAAGATCCTGGTTGCTGGTTTACTCGTTGCTGGCGTAGACTGACATGCTGCACAGGCCTTGACCGCTCACCAGGGCAGACTTCCAGCAACCCAATCCAACACCAGCCAAGCATCGCAGTGCAATCGTGGTTGTGACTTCACGCCAGAACTTTCTCGAAGGTAGAAACTCAGCAAATAATTTGGTTGGGCCAGTCTTGGGCACGCACAGTGCACCCCGCTGGCAACCTTCGAGACTGGGAAGTGCAAAGATCAATTGGTTAAAGCCGGGTTCGAGACTCGAGAGGCGTTGCAAGCCAAAGTCGAGTCAAATGATGCTGCTGACAGACGGCTTTGCTTTCTGCTTTAAGAAAACAGTAGTTTGGCTGCCAAAGTACCGTAGTTCCATGCAGACCCGTGCTGCAAAGTTGCTCTCACGCCGAAGTCATGTAGAAATCAGCATCTGGGTGTACTGCTCCTGCAGGCCGTGGCTCCGTCCTTAGACCTCGTGGAGGAGGATATTGATATCGTGGAGGCAGCATGTGGGGCTAATCATCTAATCACATCGACTCGATGGCGTCCGGTTTGGATGAACCAGTTTAGTCATTCCACAGCATTGTGCCAGACTCATGTGTGTTCTCAGCTGGAGTTTGCTGTCTGTGCAAGGACAGCGCAGCGCCAGCCCGAAAACGGCGGAAGGTGCAGCGGCTACAGTCGTCCCCTGTCTCCTCCGTCCCTGGCTCTGTCGCAATGATGTCGACTTCCACTGCTCCTCTCTTCAGCATAGAGGTATGCAGCTCTAAGCACACCAGTCTTTGCATGTTCACGTATGCAATACGTGTGCCATGCATAGACAACAGAGCATGAAATGCCGAGGCGGGTAGCTCACCGCCTGAGCTGACGCCTTCGCCCGAGGCTGGCTCCATGAATGCGCAAAAGCTCCTGGCGCCTTCAGAATCCTGCGGGATCGTGTGGAATCGTGCAAAGAGAATCGTGCAGAGACTCTCAAGAAGTGATCTGTCTTGACAAGGGGTCACCTTCCCCCACCGCGCCGCCTGATGGCATGAACGGCGGGCAGGTGCTTACACACATGTCTCTGCCAGAGATGAACCGTAGTGAGGGGTGCCGCAGGCACTTGACACCCTGCCTGCAAGCCCAACTCAGCTCTCAGTGGTAGCGCGATGGTGTATTGCATATCTTGCTTTTTATTGCCAAGCATCGGATAGAGGAACGGAGAAGACAACAAACCCACGCTTGCCTCTTAAGAATTAGCGGCAGTGAGCTTCTCCCCTCCGCGATGGCACGGGGCAAGCCTCACGCACGTCAATCCTTGCTTGGCTGGTGGCTGCAACTCGGGAAGGGATTGAGATCGATCGACTTGAGCATGTTGCGACCATGTTGCGGTACCCTCTACTTAAGAATGCCTTTTCACAGTTCCAATGCCGAGTTCAGAGGCATGGCCGCTGGCATGGTTCTCCTTGCAGAAGCCTGCAGTTCCCACCTTAGTATTGATGCCACAACACAAGAGCAAATACGCAGCATACACAGAGCTCAGAGCTCGACATCTCACCCAGTCTTCAGGCGCCGATGGCAGTGCCGAAGTGCTGGCTCCCAGGTGAACTGGGAAGAAGTCGCTGTGGAAACTGAGAAGCCTGCGAAAGCAATAACGAGCCGCTCGGCGCGAACGCGACCAAGTACCTTCCTCGATTTCGAGTTCATTGAAGGGGGCTTGGAAGAACATGCTCGACAATCTCACGAATCTCACGAGACCTGGATCAGCCTTAGGGAGGCTGTGCAGTTGTCTCTGAGCCGGTGCAACTTGGACACATTTCTGTGGTGGCGACACGCGGCGGATGCTCGCAAGCGGCTCCTGTCATGGAAGTCGACGGTGCGGACTCCTGAGGATGCCGCCGATGCAACGGCCATCATCGTGTCTTGCGCACGTGCACGCGTAGAGCCACGAACAGGCGTTTATGCTTCCTGGATCCGGGCAGTTCTGGCTGCATCGAGCAATACGAAGCCGCTGTTTTCCATTGGGGATGTGTCGGCTGCCGCTGCTTTCTTGGGCACAACTGGAGCTCTCCCGGCTGATGCCAGATTTTGGTATGATGGCTTTCCATCTGTTGTCAGTGCTGGAGCTTCCTCGGCCTCTGCATCAGATTTGGCACGGGCAGCGGCAGCCTATGCTTGCATCAGCCTCAGCGCTGCTCCTGGCGAGGCTGGAGAGACTGTCTTCGTGCAGGTAGAATCCCAGCTTCCACACGTAGAAGTCTCTGCCCATGATGCTGCCGTTTTCCTATGGGCACAACGACGTTGCGGACGACTGTCCACAGCAACAGTACTTGATCTGTGGGTGGGGTCCCTTGATGGCAGGCTCAGTGAACTGAGTCCGGTGCTCCTGGCAGCTGTATCGCATGCAGTGGCCAATGCTGGACTGCCTGCTCTCTCGGCGGCAAAGAGTCCGGCGGCGCAGCTGTTGCGGTCGCTTAGCAGACGTGACAGCGCGGCTTCAGTGGACCTCCTCTGTCGAAGTGCTGGAGCTTTGGCGGATGCAGGCTGGCCAAACGTACAGAGAGAGCGGGAGAGAGAGGGAGAGGCTGAAGGTTATCGTTGGCGCTCGGCACCAGCTGGGGTCACCCCAACACCTCAACGAAAGAAGAGGGGGAGAGAGAGACCTGACTCACCTCCGGGCGCGCCTGGTGCGCGGGGGTTTTCCCCCAAGCCCTGCAGAAGAAGAAGAAGGAGAAGAAGAAGAGGGAGGCGACTCCCATACAACCCATAGAGCCATCCACTCGGGAACAGAACGGAAGCACTAGCGATGACGATGACCATGGTACCTCATGTTTGGCGTCATGGGACGGATCTGATGAGCTCAGACGGGCAACGGCACTAGGCCAAAAGAGACTGAACCCATGGGAACGGAGAGGAAGGGGGTTTAGACAGTGAAGACAGGGATAAAAGGGTGGGGGAGAAGGTTCCAAGGCAGCCCCAGAGGTTCGCGGGTGCGTCCCTTATTGGGTTTAAGAGGATCATGGTCAGGAGTGTTTTTTCAGAGGGTTTTAAGTGCGTTTCGGGCGGGCCTTTCGGGGGCCAAGGGTGCTGCAAGGTTTAATGGCACCCGCAGATGCCTGGATGGTGGTTGAACTGGCCGGGCCAGCCCTGGAGCAAGTATCTGATGTGGCCCGAGCGGAGCCTCGGACGCGTGTATTTGGACTAGGAGTTTGGGCCCACATATGGACCCCTCAAACATCATTACATTTCTTGGTACTCCCTCTCACACTTCCAATGAAGGAGCTCCTGCGCATGCTGGCCCTTCTTGGAATCAGTGACGGTCCAATTCTGGCACTCCTTCAAGCCAGTGCGCCACTGAAGGCTTGCTCAGGGGCTTCGGCGCACATGCGGCTTGTGGCTCAGGGTTATGGGTTGCAGGAGCTGACATGGTGCGAATCCCAAGGCTGCAGTAGGGAGACATGCGAACCTTCCAAAACCCTAGACACCTACCAAGCACCCGCTAGGAGTGCACTCAGCAAGGTACCCGTTAACCCTAAACCCTTAACGCCCTTGGGTAGAATTAAGCACAACTCGGTACGCCTTGTAGAATCTTGTAGACTATCTTCCAGTCCGTCTGCTGGAATGGAAGGCCCGCTGGTGATAGGCCTCCAAGCAGCATGAGGGCAGGACATCTTCACATCAATACCGTAAGACGAGCAGAAGACACGTACCTAAGAATACTGAATCCTATAGAAGATCCTAGAAGGCTCAATGTCATGTAGTGTCACATTAATGTCCGCAGCCAGATCCAAAAAATCCCGCTTTCCAGACGCAGTCATCATGGGGAATGGGTTGCGGCATCGGAGTGAAGGCAGTGATTGCAGACGTGTTACCTGGCGCTCTCGCGCAGGCGCCTGCAGAAACGTTGCAGCCACCCGACTGGAGTGCCGCTGGCCTGCCTACGCCGCAGACCCTTGGCCGGAGCAGCGCCATGCCTGCACAGCCTTATGCACACACCCTCCCAATTTTCAGACGAATGCTTGGCAATATCCGCAGGGCCTGGCACAGACATCGATCCCAGCTCTGCTGGTGTTTTGAGTCTTTTTGACTTGATTTCCGCTCTTCATGATGAGATTTGAGATAGTCCGGTACAGTGCGGTCCGTGAAAAAAAATCAGGTGAATCGCCCTTGGCTGCGCAGGCAGCTTCGGCCTTCCTCGAGGCATCCGCGCTTCTTCCGAAGAATGGAGCGCCGCGGGAAGCTGTCGAAGCGCCCCTCGCCATCTCCGTCTTCGACAGCTGAAGAGCCTTTAAGTACGTAGCAGCAAAAGCCTGCCACCGGCTTTTGCTCCGGGCCTAAGGTGCTACGAGGAAGTGGCCCTGCATGCTGGAGCTTGTGCTGCCTGCACACTGCTGCGCTCTGCGCTGGCCCTGGCGTCTCTGGGACTCGGCCCGGCCGCTGCCAAGCTGGCCACTTCGATGCACCGATTCTCCGCGATTTCTGTCATTGAATTGTGAACTCAGAGAGAGGAGCAGAGAGCATTGTGGGATATTGTGATTTTGTTGCAAGGTCTCTCTGCTGAATGACAGGGTGAATGAGGCTCAGACCACGGAGGCGCGGCGCATGGCCCGTCATCGCGCTTTGCTGGGCGCATCTGCTCCCAGGCAATGGCAGCGACACCCTCTGTTCGGTTGCGGCGGTTCTTTAACGATGCAGCAGAGGCGGAGGAGCTCTTAAGGCCCACAGACTGTCGGCTCTTCTGGACGCTCCACGGCCGCCTTGGCCGTTGAACTAGACTTCCTGTACCGGGCGAGGTGGACTCCTGAAGCCGACCCTGGCTGGGTTCTGACTCACTTTGTCACGACGATCCATTTCACCCCAAGGATTGGAAGAAATGGAAGGTATTATACTGTACCCGGGGAGGGCCAGGTGGGAGGGGAAACGCGATTCATTCACGATTCCAATGCCCGACCTTCGGTGATTTCAGCGCAGAAAATCGTGTTCGTCCTTTTGCATGTGGTCTTTCAGAGGCTGCTTCCGGCACTCCCACCTCAGCCCAGCGCAGCCTTGCTGCGTGGGATCGTTGCCTTCCTTCGTGAAGCCGGGGCTGGTGGTCGGCTTTCTGCAGATCAAGGACCGATATGGACTGATCCCGATCGGGATTGTGGAACTGAGCAGATGCATAGTCGATGGCACCTGCTGTGATCTGCAGGAGCCAGCAGCATACTTTCGTGCTCCCTTCTCGATCCTCCTGTGGACGTATGGGAGCTGGTGACTGACACTTCGGTCGAGGTGGCAACACTGAAGGTTCGATCAGCTTTCTTGAATTTTAAAACAGAGGGAAGAGCGAGGCAGGTCCTCGAGCAAAAAATAGCGAGAAGCCGAATGAAACGTGGAGGCACACCTTTCCTTCCCCGCGCTGCTCCAGCTCTGCCTTGCAGCCCTCCTGAAGGTTGGGGAAACGATTTCGTGAATCCGGGGCCAGGGCTATGGCAGTTGCGCTTCTTCCGAGTGACGAAGAGGTAGAAGCTGGCAGGTTTTCCCGTTAAAGCAGGCAGAGAGCTCTTCGGCAGCAGTGCATCATTTGAGCGACTGGCTAAATCCCGCGCCTCTCTGGGTAGCCTTGAGCGGGACGTCTGCAAACTCGATAAATTACCCCAAAGCGATACCCACCAGATATCATCGCTTTGATTGAAACAACGCTTCCCAACCCCAAAATCAAAGCACTGCCATCAGTGACATGTCTCAGTCCTGGCCTCTGGGTTTTGCCGCGCGTTCATATGCATGGTACGTGCATTACGTGCGTTGTGCATGCTTCTCGGAGCGGAAGCAAAGTGGCTGGCAGGCCTGGGACGTACAGGAGATGCACCGGTTGGACCTGGTTTTGTCTCAGATTGGCCGGAGCTCGTTGTCCGAACAACGCCGGGGCGTCTCGGCAGGTCCAGACTCTGTTTCAGGTTCTGCAGGGAAGTCATGCCTGTTCATCATTGCTGTTCAGCTTATTGCTGAGACATTGCAGTTTAACACGGTCAAATACTTCCCCCGATGGAGCTTCGAGTGAGGTCACAGCAGCACAGGCTCTGAGCTGGCGATTCTGCAGCTCATGGAGGTCCGAAAGTGTCCGAAAGTTTTTCTGAGAAGCTCTGCCAACATCAAATCACAGTCACAGTCAATGCTTGTCCTTTTTCGAGATGCAGCGGCCAGGCCGTCTCTCAGCCCCAAGTGGCCCAAGCATGGCAACTCGAGGTGCCTTCGAAGGCTCCTGGGCTTCATGGGAAAAAAGTTTTTGGCCTCTTCGGGTCTTGGGGTGCCCCGCAACATGGGGCATGCGCTTGCCGTGGCTACCTGCCTCGAAGTGCTCTCTACAACACTTGCAGTTTTAGTTGGCATGCCTGGCATCTGGTGACGACCTTTCTCTACCCTTGTCTATCATGTTCGCATCGTTTTCCTGTCCTTTCTCTATCCTTTCCATACTTACGGTATCGATTCCAACGGAGAGTGCATGGCCATGGCCCCATCGCTTCAGGTCTGCCCGACTGCGGTGGTGCCTTGACTTGCACAGGAAGGGGCGGTGAGCCCCGATACTCCCGATACGACTGTACCATTTGTGACACTTGGGAATGCCGAAGGGCTACTCAGAGGAGAGTTGAAAGGGCTCAAAAATGACCATTTTGTTGTGGCATGTTGTGGCCTGCGTGGAGCCCTGAGAGGTCAGGCCGGCTCCGTGGCTCTACGCCGGGGAGGCTTTTGCAGTGCGAAGCGAAGCCTTCTGCGAAGCCAGCAGTTCCTGTCTTGTCTTGTGCGTAGCAGTGTAGTACTCGTGTAGTCTTAGTGCAAGCAGAGATTGAGATGGGATATGGGAAGTGTTTCATATCTGAGTTCTGGTTACAGCCTCTGTCAGAACTTACAACCTTGCCTTGGCCACAAGTCAGTTGACAATCCGTCAAGCCCTCGTCAAAGGATGAAGTGGCAAAGCAATATGTAGTGGCAAGCGCCGTGCAAAAGCACGGAATTGGTGCAGGCCTCAAAGCGAACAGATGCATGGCTGCAGCCGCTAGGAAGCACATCAGCTTTCACCGAAAGATCAATGCCTATGGAGAAGCCGGTAGTGGACATACCCATGCTTGAAGATGTGCCTGTGAAAGTTTGAGAAAGCTACTCGCGACCCCATCTCATCCATCTTCCAAGTTTCCGCTTGCAATCCCAGCAACGGGAATTTGCGGCTAGCTAGCTCTTGAACAAGAATCAGTTCCGTGCATGCAAATTCCTGAGAACGTCTGTCCACGGCGGCACGAAGGTGCCCGACTCCTCGCCTAACCTTCCTCCCTCGCCCGCCGCTCCCCGACAAACCGTACACCATCTTGGGTGAAACGCTGATCAATTTCTGCAGTAGCTCGGTGGGGGCAAAACAACCCGTGAACGTCCATTGTGGGCCCGCGAAAGTTTCACGACAAAAGCGGCTGCACCCACATGAAAGGTTCACTGGAAATATATTGGACAAAACTGCTACCATATACTGGGTGGTTGATATACTAATGTATGTATACATGCAATACACATGCATCTATGATATGATGAATGTGTTCGTTAGCAAGAAGCGCGCTGCCACTCTGCACCGTCTCAGGGCCTGAGGGACGGGGGTTGCCTGACAGGCCTTGAAGATCCCTTTCAGGACGAGAACGAGTGGGGAGATTGTGAGGGCGGGGGTGCAATGGAGACGGGCACTAGCCAAAGGAAACACCAAAAGAACAGCACGCAGCCTGACGCCTCCTGATTAGGTGTCAAACGCGCCTGGTGCTTCCTTTTTGATTGAAAAGTTCTGCAATTTGCTGCAATCGCCCGTGCTGCACAGCGAGCCCCAATGCCATCAGTGCAGGAATGTGGTGCGACTTAAGAGTATGGAGCTTGAACGGAGCCGTTGCCTCACCCCAAACTTTCCAAACTTTGACAAAGTGTGAAACTCAGGCTCCTGCTGATCAATGATGACGGCTGCTCGTCGCATGTGCTCTGTGGATGCCCCAAGCTTGCTGACAGTTGCAAATGCCGTTTGGATGCTTAGGATTTGCAGCCATCGAGTGCCTAGCTGGCCTTCCAGCAATCGGAGCTGCGCGACAGCGGCTGTCCCGCGTCTTGCTTCGCGAGACCAGTGTGCAGCGTGGCAAAAGTCAACCCAGAAGCACGACGTGATTGCCATATTTTTTTTGCCACTGCAATGCCAGTGTGTGCCAGTCGGGTCGTAGGATGCAGTAACCTGCAGATGTTGCAGGTGGTCTCCAAAAAGAAGGTGCGTGTCCGGCCAGGGAAGGCGAGGCTTCAGCTCGATTCCCCTGTCACTTCCAGCTCTGCTTGCTTGCGGATATTGCACCTTCCATGCCATGGCAATCCCATTCTGTCACTTTGTCCAGTTCTGCGTTGTGCACTCGCAGTCACGTCAGGTTGTGTTCTGCTGGCCATGCAGACTGGAATCACTCCCTAAGATTCTCTTCCCGACAGCATGGCTTCCTGCTCGACAGGTATCCGTTCCTGCCGGCCCAGTCGTCATGGAGTTGGACGACTAAAGACTCCAAACTTGCGTTTTTCGGCAGGGCAGCCAAAACCTGAAAGTTTCCACTAAGCCCTATAGTGCAATCTTCACATACGCAGAAGTTGTCAGACCATGCCACAGAATTGCAGCAGGTAGTCAGTCTGCCATCATGTTCCTATGTCCGAAGCCGCGACTGCTTGTGTCGATCCCTCCATCTGCATTTTCCTTGGAGGGCTAGCCATGGAGAAGGCAGGATGCTTCTGGAAAACCCTAAACCCTAAACAACCCTAAGCCCTAAAGCCCTAAACCCTAAACCCTAAATCCTAAACCCTAAACCCTAAACCCATCGTTGTTGGCATGGAGAGATTCAACTGATCGATCCAGGGTTCGATGTCGAAGCTCCTATGGGAGTCCGATGTTTTGATGACCTTCCGCCCTGTTTTTGGTGCCAGCAGCTGTGCAATTAGTTATTTCGGCAATGGGTGACGAATCCATCATGGGCACTGCACAAACCTTTGGCTTCTGCAGAATCGGCGGGTGGAGCACGACTGTTGCTAGTTCATTGCGGGTGGGCTTGTATCTCGGCCTGATTGCAAGCCAGGTGGGAGCGCCCCGCTGTCACAGGCACTTCCGAAAGCCTTGTTTGCCGTACAAGTTGTTGCTCAAGTGTAAGACTATTTGTCGACCTGTGAGCCAAAGGTGAGATCGAATCTGCCTTTTGATGAGCTAGAGCATCGCTGTCGAGTGCGTCGCCTCTTTCAGCACTCATGAACCTCGATTCTCATGGGAGGCGCCTTGTTCGGCATGTTCAATGTCTTCTTCTTGGCAGTGTTCTACTGGGACCTGTCGCGGGCACCCCATGTGCACAACGTTTCCGCTCTTGGACCATCCAGACTATCCTAGTTTAACCCCCCTCACCACTATAAGGTTGGTTCCAGCTTTATGTCACATCTTCACAGCGATGCTGCTGGGTGGTGGTGCCATCAGGCCGCCTGCACCGTAGCTTCTGGCTTTTTTTCTTGCAAGTTGGTCTTGTTTGTCGCGGCGTGGAGGTACACGGCACCGCAGGCAGCCGATCAGAACATGGACCTGCTCTCCCAGGAGAGAGCGATGGTACTAAAAACTCTGTTTCACAAAACCTCAGTGTCGGCTTGCTTGCACTTCTTATTCATTGTTCGAATGCTAAAGCAATGATCATTGGAGCATCGTGGAGTACAGGGGCTGACGGGATGGCAGGGGCTGCATGGGGCTGTTAGGTTGCCTGACAGGATGCCATCAAGAGCGCAGTGGAGACAATATCCAAGTTCTTGAAAGTGATTTCTGAGAAGGCAGCCAGTGATCCAAATCCAGGCAGCCATCAACTTTGTGATCTTCTGAACCCGCTCCAGGTGCGGAACATTGTCCTGTGGACTAGCTCAGAGGCGACCATTACAGTTGCGACCTTACTGAAGGGGCGACACCTCCATTCTTGTGCAGTTCCTTTCCCGTTGTTGGATCATGAGGCCATGCTTGTCCTGCAGCTAGTGAGCCCGAAACTTGGAAATGGTATCCAACCAGGGTGCTGATCAGAAAGTTATTGTCGATGCAGAATGCTCATAAATGTTCGGTTGAGGACTCGTTTCTCCCTACTTTGGTGAAGCTGGCTCGCTTGCAGAAGTGCAATTCCTTGGAAGGGCGGGAATACATTGCTGTTAGCAGTGTTCCCCTTGAAGGGTTTGGTCTGATTGAGTGGCTGTGTGACGGCGCGGCAGGTGCCTTCTTCTTCGTTTGGCTAGTAGGGAATGTTCTTTTCGCGCTGGCCTCAGCAACCGTCCAACTTTCACAGGAGTGTGTTTGTGAGAGCTTGTGCCAATGTGCCAGCACAAAGCGGTGGTGTGATGTCTTCAGGTGGCACCATATGTATGGAAGGCCAAGAATGCAGAGCTGCACCAGTACGTTGGGTTGCCGTCTCGGTACATACTCATGAGCAGATGTGAAGCTCGTTTCATGTAACGCCACGCCTGAGGCCGTACATTAAGAAAGCTGTTGCCGTCAAGGACTTGCGCAGCTGGATCTTGTGAGAAGGGTTTCGGGCAGCTAACCGTGCCTGTCATACGAGAGCGAGGGCCCATTGGCAGGATGACCTTTTGGCGAAGGTGCCCAAGTACACGGATGTGGTCAAAGAAGAGCACGCCTGCCATGCTTTGGCTTCAGACTTTGTAGATCTTGCTTGGCGGGAAGTCGCGAAAACTACCAGTGGCTCCTTAGGAGCTTCCGGCAAGTGCGAACTGTATGCAACTTTCAGACAGATGGCTGAATGTTCATCAAGATGGTTGTATCAGTTGAATTATACTGGGGCTTCTAGAGGATCTTCTTTTGGTGTTTACATTGCTTGACCTTGGTGGTGTGCCAGGTAGAGGCAGGCAGCGCTGCCTGCAATTGCGGCTGGCTGGGGCAGTCACTAGAGTCACTAGCGATGTCGAACAAGGTTCTTCTACTCATGCATGCTTGAGCATGCTTGCTGGCACGTCTGGTCAAACACAGAGTGCTGCCTCTTTATACTGGACCCTACTTGCCAGTGTCACCACAGGACAGGACATGATTTAGAGTTCAGCCATGATTTCGGTCGTGGAACAGGGCAGGCAGAACAGCGGCGGTGCAGCATTGCAGCACGCCTCAAGCCCATGCATCATGCTGCTTCAAATTTGGCCGCTGATTGGCGAGATGCCTTCTCAGTTCCCACGTGTACAGCCATGTTGCAGGGATGATCCAAACTCAGGAGAACCCTGCCTGAAAGCGCCGAACATGATTCAGCTTAAGGACAAAAGCCCTGGCAGTGGAACGTGTAGCGAAGTGGAGGAATATGGATGTGCTGAGAAGACCAAAATACAATCGGAAAACTTCAAGCCTAATCCCGAGAAGCATCGATTTCCCACACAGGCCCTTCCCGGCCGGAAACAAGCTAGATCAAACTCAGAACAGAAATAGTCATCGAATTCGTTTAAAGGTAACAACAGAGTTTAGGTTTTCTGGCTGCCCCATGAAATCGGACGCATGCTTTCGATTTGTTTTGCCGAATGGTCGAAAAAACCGAAAATCGGTTCTTGTTTCAGCTGTCAGAAATTTAATTTGGTTTTTCCCAGAGTTTGGTTCGATGTCTGGGTTGTTGGCGTTTCTAGTTACTACTCTATCCCTGACAATCCAAGCCGCGATAAATCGAACGCATTTCGGAGAAAATCAAAGGCGAGTTTGTCCGGCGGGAAAAAAAGAAAAGTGGAAATGGTTTTCCAACCGGAAAAATTCAAAAGCACATCGGGTTCGTTCTTTTGGCAGGATGGGGCCGGAATTGACGTTTCCGGCCGGAAGAAATCAACAAAATCATGGGGCTCGATTTTCCGGCCGGACAAGCTAAAAAACCCAGCTCGATCTTTAGCGGGCAGGAAAATGAAAGCAGTCTGGTTCGATTTTTCCGGACAACATCAAAGATCAGGGAAGTTCGGACGAATTGCGTTCAATCTATTGTTTGTTCGTTCGATTTTGTATGGTGTATTTACACTTTAAGCTTTTGCCAAAATCCCAGTGTTATTGGACTGCCGAATATCATGATTTGAGGACACAGAGCTGATGGCCGAGAGACCTTTTCAGTGGATGTGCCCGCATGTCGCTTTGACATGCTGGCTACAAGCCGTGAGCCATCAGCTTGCACACGTGAACGCCACCTGGCACAGTAGATCCAACTCAGAGCAGCACAAGCATACATAAACCATGCCTCCACTCGCTTGGGGAGCTTTATCAGGTAGATGTGTCGATGCCCTGTCGTAGTCTAGATGAACAAGGGGAGCAAACCAAAAGGAGCACAACCAGGCTAAGAGGCAGACTGCACCAGCTTGATGGGTGCAGCTCTGCCCTATTCTCAGTGCTGGGACATCGGCATTGACCCAGAACATCCATGAGCCACATAACACCAAATACCGCGTCTATGACGCGTTGCACTTTTTTTTTTTTCTCTCTCTCTCTTTCTCTCTCTCTCTTTTTCTCTCTCTCTGTTTCTCTCTTTCTCTCTCTGTTTCTTTCTTTATCTCTGTCTCTCTCACAGTTTGTAGTACTCACACTAATGCTCGGTACTTGCAGAGACTAAGGGCGTCATGCGGCCTTCGCCTCGAGCACAGTGCTTCGGCAATAGGCCAGCTCGCGATGAGAGACCCAAGAAGCCGAAAAAACCCGAAAGAGCCTGAGCGGTGCAAGAGGGCGGCTTGAGAAGTGCATGATGTTGGATCTTCTTTCGACTTCCCCTCCCCCAGAGGCAATTGCGTAGACCCTTGAATTCCTTGAATCATTGAAAGTGGCTGACTTGGATTGGTTGGAGAGGCCTACGCAATGGAAGATGCATGATCATCCGGAGCCCCCCCCCCCCACCCGCCAAATGCATTTGCAGGGTGTGAGCAGATCTGGGTGCTTTTGAGATGTTGTGTCTGATGTGGTTGAGGCGTATCTAGTTGTGCTTTGGTGCTCTGCTCTAAGCTCGCTTTCTGCGTGGGTGGCGAAGCTTGAAGCTACCTTATCTGGCTCGCGACAAAAAGCGCATCTGAGGAAGTTGCTGCCGGCCCAAACTCTTCAACACCCTCTGTAGCAGCTTCATGTCGAAGTTGTATTGTAGCATGAATAGAATCACCCAGAGCGAAGGCGAGGGCGCAAGCCCACCTTTATAGAATCAGAGGCATTCAACAAGCATGCCGGCAGCTTGAGTTGTTCTTTTCCTGGTTGTTTCGGTTCGGTGAGGTGTCCTCTTCTCCGGCATCAGTGACGGTGATGCAGAGGAGGACTGGTTCATGGATATTCATGGCACTGCACACCCCGGTCTGATCTGCGGAGGTTCTCTAGCCGCCAGCCCCTAACCCTGCTCCTGCGACAATAGGGGGTGCTCGCATACTGCCGCATCGCATCCCTTTAACTGCCGTATGTTGGTGCCGGGTGCTGAGCACCGCAGTGACTGCAGCTGAAGAATACCGATGACAACAGCGGATCGGCAAACACATCTGCTCAAGTCTTTGTGCTCTGACGATGTCCAGATGGCAGCGATGTGAAGGAGTTGGTTCTGGAAGTGATGAGCACTGCAGCAGATGATTCTAGCGGCGTCAGGCTGGACAACGCTGCACAATCTGAAGCAGACCATGATATGCTCGTGCTGTGCTGCTAATGCTGCTAGTGCTGCTAATGCAGCTAATGCAGCTAATGCAGCCATGTGCTCGAGATATAGGATCCGATAGACATGGTGTTGTGTATGACATGAACTACGTGCGACGGCAAATGGGCTTTACTCATCATCATTTCAGATGTGACGTACTCTTGGCGCTGCTCCAGGCCGAGCGGCTTCAAGGAGTTACAACAGCTGCAGGCGGGAAACAAAGCAATGCCACAGCGACATGCTTTTTCCTCTTCCGTAACCCTGCATCACTTTCGAATCCAGTGCAGGTGAGCCGGCTCTCAACCGAGCATGGTCTGGAAGCATTGAGCTTCAGGCCATGTCTGATAGTCTGGATGAGGGGTTGTTCTGCTTTCAACCGCCAGTGGGCGGACCATGGCAGACCTCTTCAGGTACAGTGAATCTGTCAGATCTACCTGGCCAGATGATTACCGCTTCCAGGTCGGGCCAGTGGAATGCATGGAGTGATGGGGGTGTCGGTGCTGCACTGCCCATGAATGTGAGACAAATCGCTTCGCAAGGCGTCCAAGAGATCATGGAGAGCCTCAATTGCCAGGGGCTTGCACGAATCGGCATTGCTTTTTTGGTTGTACAAGCGTTGCACATAGAGGTGTTTGTCTGTGTCCTTCTACATGCAAAATTGGACATACGTGTGCTGCAGAGGCCTCTGCTCCGGACAAGGCTGCCGAACAACCGAACACCAGCCGAAACTTGCGCGGACGGTCGTTGCCAATGTTTGCCGCGCACAGGCCTATGTGCTGCAGATGGCCACACGTGCAGAGGAAAGAGTAGCAGATGCCGTGAAATGGGACTTGGAGGCGTGCCCTCAGCAGCGGCTGGTCCTTGGGGACGGCGCATAGTGGTACAGAGAACGGGAAGAGCTCTAGTTAGATACCTGGGTGAAGGCGTGGCAGACAGGGTCGGACTTGTATGGCCTCCTCTAGCATTGGGAGTTGCTCACCATCTACGAGTCCCCTCGACTGATTTGAAACAGAAAAGCCCGGACGGAAACGTGGCAGAGAAAACCTGGGCAGGGGTAAAAGCTTGGGTTTTCAGGGTGCTAGAACTCCTGTTTTCTTTCCTTGTGCTTTTGCTGACTGATACATTTTGCCATGGTTCGTGAGTGCCAGAATTCGTGGCCAGGATGCCAAAAGCGCAGGCTCCTACGCCCACCGCTTCAATCTGTACAGTCGCGCAGTCCTCAGCACGGCAGTACCTGTGCAACCTGCTGTAGCCTGGGTAAGGTAGTTTTGCTGTGAGCCTGTGAGGGGATACGCAGGCATCGAACACTAAATTAAACTGGGTCAGCAATGGTGAAGTTCTGAACCAACCAAAATGAGGAACGCTTTCGAGAGACGGAATTGTGAGCCCCTTTGGATCATTTCGAAGCAGAGCTGCAGAACCAGCGAGCAAAACACAAATTGACGAAGTATGGGAGGACCTCCACCGTGCACTAAAGAGACACATGAAGCAACATACATGTCTCCGTGCCGAAGAAGATCGAAGAATGCTTGAACCAACCAAGCGTCAACAATTCTTCAGGCAACGAAATAATGCTTTAGGCATGCCCCGGGTTCCCATCCATTTCTACTGCCTGTTCCTATATGGCTGTTCCTGTACAAACAAAAAGGAGCTAGGGGGGGGGGTGAAGAAACCATGAACCAGCTCAATGCAAATCGTTGCCAAGTGAGTTCTTCGGGCAACAAAAAAGCTTGCGATCAGGGGTCCGTTAAAAAGTACTTGGGAGGGGGGGGGGGGTACCCTAAAGAACGTGCTTTTCACCGAACCGCGTGTGACACGCGTCCAGCCCTGAGTGCTCATAGTGCTCACCACAATGGGCCCGAACCGCGCAGGTGCGGATGGGTGTCGTGCCGGTCGGCCGGCCCCGTGCGCCCATGAAGGGACGATGGATACCGCGTGTGACACCCGTCCCGCAAACTGCCGACCTTGCGCGCTCATGGAAGCAGACCATGCAGACCGGGGTTACCAGGGCCTTGTGCTTTTCTGCTCTGTCTCTCCGTCTGGGGGTTCCCCCCCCCCAAAGTGCTCTTTGTTGCGTGCGTTTACACCTGCTCCACGGAGCCATTCGATGCAACCAAGATGCTTACGGCATGCCACGGGATGCAAGTCCAATGACGGTTAGTCGCGAAACACCAACTTTTCCAGGCTTGAAACATGCCTTCTGCCGTAAACCCAAGCCGTGACACCCATCCGGTCCAGTGCGCTCATGATTGGGGAACCACATGCGAGAGCACACGCCCGCGCTGCGGCACAATCAGGGTTTCTGTAAAGCCGTGAGCTTGAGCTGTGTGACGCCCATCCGGTCGTGTCATGGAGTGAGACCATGGGAGACCACAAGCCCAGCCCTTGACATGTGAGACCATGAAAGTCCACAAGCCTGAGACGCGTGACCCATTTTGTCGTGCATGCTCATGAAGGCGGACCATATGCCATGTGGGCGCTCACAAACGTGAGCCGCTTGATGCCTGCCCTGCGTGTTCCTGAAGTTGGAGACACGGGGACACCATGCAAACTGCAGCCCCATCTAACCTGCTCATGAAAGGAGGCCATTGGAGCCCACAAGCTTGACCCGGGTGTTGCGATTCAGCCCGTGGTCTTCATGGTCCCCTGTCATGAGCGCACGGCCGGATGGATGTCACCCAGCTCGGGCTTCTTATGGCCTTCCATGGTCTCCATTCATGAGCGAGCAGGGACGGATGGGAGTAATGCGTCTGGGGCTTCTATGGTACTTGTGTGCGCACCAAGGCACGGGCCCGAATTGCATGACGGCCATGTGTGCTCACGCCTATAGAAAGAGCATTTAGACACAAACCGAACCGCGTGACTCGTGATCGGAGGCACTGACCGAGTCGCGAAACACCCAGGTTTTGACTGGAGACCATGTGGAGGCCATGGGCCAAGCCCGTTGACACCCAGCCCACGGCGCTTAATCGAACAACGTGACACCCAGCCGGCTGTGTGCGGACCACTGCTCCCAAACCATCGGACACCTACCCAAACCACGACAATCTTGCCTGAAGGAATCTTTTCAAAATGCATCGTGATGGGGATAGATCATTGCAATTATTGATCTTCAACGAGGAATTCCTAGTAAGCGCGAGTCATCCCCAAACCATTGGACGCCCATCCGGCCCTGTCCGCTCACACGAGCCCAAACCAGTCATCCACGTGCGCTCATGATGGGAGACCACCGGAAACCACGCGCCCAAACCGCATGACACCCATCCGGACTTCAGTCTGGCCAAGTGGGTGACGTTCTTCAAGTCGTTTCGTGAGGGCAGCACCCCAGCGGCTCCTGGTTGGGGAAAATCGGGAAACACGGGAGCCTCCATGTTCTCGGAGGCTTTGGGTGTTGTTGCATTCGTCCTGCTGCGACAGAGGTGAACAGGCTCGAGAAGCTGGTGGCCCCACGGACGATCAGCCACCGTGCGTTAAGGCGCCTCGCGTGCACAGAGCGGATCGGAAGCTTCCTTGAAGATCTCGTGTGGTGTGCAGCGTGCGTCAGCAGGTGCAAAAATTCAAATTTGAGTGCCCAAGGTGGCTGCCCCAGTTGCGTGCCGAGTGGTCAAAACCAACTTTCCAGCGCTGCTGCCGGTGGGCTTGGCCCTCAGCCTCATGGTGGTGAAGAGGCCGCTGTGGAGTTTGGAAGAATTCAAGCCGCTTCAAGCCTCAAGCAGCTAAGGTGCATACTGCACATTGTGGCCCTACTCAGATGCAGAGGCTCGACATGACATGCTGAAGGGCACCCTGCTGACAAGATTTGTGAAGCAATTTCCTTCATGATGTCTTCTTGAGGTGCGAAAGTTTGTGTTCAACGGTTGCCAAGACTTCGTGGAGCTTGCACAGGCATGCCTGGGCAAAGCAAGACAAACTATCACAGTGAGCCGCGCACTGGCCTTGAAATTCTCTTCTGAGGCCTTCTTCCATCACTCAGCTTTCTCCTCCAGTGGAAAGGAACTGGTGTGTGACATCCAGGCCAAAAGCAACTGAGAACATGTAGCTGGCCGTGTGCGTGCACAGATGCAAGATTTCTAGCGCATCATCACGCATCGGTTTGGTCCGGGGCGTCTTGCCAAACAATCAGAGGCCATAGGCCAGCATGCTGTTGTGGGTGCAGGGCGCTGAGCAAGAGGATGGCAGCCTCCTCTTGATTGATCCGCGTGGGGCTTGTCATGGGAGGAATGTTCAGATCCATCAAAGTACGGCTTGTGTGCTTTTGCCCAGGTGCATCCTCCGGCCTGGCAAGGTAACGGTCAGTGCGTTGCTGAAAGGCTCTGCGAAGGACGATCGCGAGCGCGAGGCGCGGTCGGGAAGCCTCGAGAGGAATACTTGGCCAGGCCAGGAGAAGCAGCACATACCAGTACCTGTTGGGGACTAGCTAATTGTTTGTGATCGAGGTTCAGTTCGGGTCAACGGCTCGTGAAGCTCAGCTGCCTTACGTGTTCGGCAAGGACTTGGCAGCCTGCCTGGGACCTGTTGTCAACGTGGCAGCAGACAAATTCGACAAGCTCCACCCAAAGTGTACCCAGCTTTGCAAGGCACCGGAAAGGGGTGGAATCACGAGGGCTGGCAGGGCTCTAGATTGGCAGAGCAGCACTGCGGTGGAGGCTTTCGATCCTCAAAGAAGCACCGTGTCTCGGCTCCAGTGCGAGTATGGAAGGGTGTTCGAGGTTGTCCAGATTCCGCATCCCTGTTTGAAGCCTTGCGGTCCTTGCGTTCCAATTTCACAGTATGTGCTGTCTATCTCAGAAAAAATGTGCATGGCTCGTGCAGGTGAAGAGGAAGGTCGGCGTGTGCGGTCTCGATGTCACCTGCGGCTTGGCGAGAGGTTAAAAATCGCCGTGAGCCTTTGATTGCATTATCGTGGAGTACGCAACTACCCAACTAGTTGCGACATTCAGCCGACTGATGCCGACTCATCGTTCAGATTTGAGGTCGAATGCAGTACTACTGAAAGCTACTGTAACGCACCGATCTTGACCGTGCGGGAGCTGTGACATTCGTATAATTGTGGCATTGGCTTAAGCCAGTTTGAACTCATGGTGCAAGTAGACATGTGGGTGGTGGCATTAGTCAGCATCCACATTGTGTTGCCATAGTGTGGCTCAGCTGTTAGTCCCAGAAACAACAGCATACCACTGTGCAACAGGATTCTCAATGCGAGGATCAGGTAGATGGCTGGCGGCAGTCCTGCCGGACAGCTCTTAGGTGCGCTGTCGTGGCATCGATGGGTGTCTATTCGCCAATCGATACACTGACTTGTAACAGAACAAGCTTTTTGACATGCGTGGTCGATCGACGGATGTCGACGGCCTCCTTGCAAACTCTCGGTCAAGGGCAGATTTCTGGCAGGCGTGGAACGGCGAACCATCCGCTGCTGGGAGTTACGGGCTTACAAGTAGCATTTGAGGAAAGCTTGCCGTCTTTTGTTCCAGCGGTTGTGTTTCGACTGTTGCGTGATAGCGCATTCCTTCTCGATCGCTCAGTCAAGCTCAGTCAAGGTATGGCAGCGTTTTCATCCCCGATGAGGATGGCTGCGATGAGGCAGAGCCAACATCATTTTGACTACGATTTCTGCAGGCTGTGGTAAAAGCACTGGCGCGAAGAACGCTTCTTTACAGCCTCGCTGTTTCATTGACACGCTGATAGCTCTTGTCGGTTGACGGTTGACCGAGCGCGTCTCCTTAACATGTAAAGGCTGTGATCTCGATGCCCCCCCCCCCCCCCCCGATATTATGTGCAGAATGTCCGAGCATCAGCGTGGTACCTCTCTGGACCTGAAAACTGGAAGCTCTTGGCAGGACCCGAAGACAGGCATTCTCGCCCCTTTGGGCAGCGTGCAGGTGGCGCCTTGGACAGCGTTCGGAGCAACTGGTGGTGCCGGTGTCGTGAGGAGTTGGCCTTCGAAGATGCTGTTGTGGTCTTTGTGTTTGTTTGTTCAGCCGTCGAAGTTCGCTGTCAAAGTTGTGCCAACTCTGGGTCGCTTAAAGTATGACAAGCCTTGGCCTTGTGTTCACGTGCGAGTCTTAGGCCACGCGGTCCAATTTCACGGTGCTGCTACACTAGCATAGCTACTGCTAGGAAGAAAAATGCCCAGCAGCAGCAGCAGCAGCAGCAGCAGCAGCAGCAGCAGCAGCAGCAGCACCAGCAGCACCAGCAGCAGCAGCACCAGCAGCACCAGCAGCACCAGCAGCACCGGCAGCACCAGCAGCACCAGCAGCACCAGCAGCACCAGCAGTCGTCTTGTACTTGTTCGAGACGCCGCAGGGTGATATCTGATGTAGTACGATTCTAGCTCTCCTGTCGATATGTCATGTTTCATTGAAGGTTCTTGCTTGGTTCGGCGATGCGAGCGATGAAAGCCTGCGCAATGACATCACCGACGAGGCCAAGTTTAGTCCATGTAGAGGATGAATCACCCAAGAGGTTCCCTCTATTCTTTCCAGATGCTGGCAGGTTCAGCGCATGCTCTCTTCATCACAGCGTTCGGCAGTACCGGCAATGGCCAGGTGAGTTCAAGAAGTCACCCTCCAAACATCTCCTAGCCCGAATCTAAACCGTGGGCTTTACCCCCCTAAGCTCAGCTCAGATTCGGCACCAGGCTCTGGGGTGACCCGGCAAAATTCCGGCTGAAGCAGCTGGAGGCACGCATTTCTCAGATGTTCGCTGCAGAATTGGTGTTTCACAAAATCGATGACTGGAAAGATAGGTGACCTACGAGCAAGACTGGCTTGGTCATGAAAGGCTTGGGAAATGCATCGGAGAGCTTCTTTGTGTTTTTGCCCGTTCCCAGTGCTTGTGCTGTTGTTGGGTTGCTGCAACTGTATGGAACTGTACAGTGTGTGCCCTCATGGCGGATGTGGGGCGAATCTGCTTGGACGTTGTCCACTTGCTGGTCGCACCCGCAGCTTCAAGTTTTTGACAGGGCGAACCATGAATCGGCGGCGCAGTGGAGTAGGGTGTCGTCAGGGACCGCACGCGTCAGTTGCCCAAACGTTGCCCCAAGTTGCCCAACCTGCTAGTTGCAGAATTGGTGACGCACGGTCAGACATGCAGATGACTAGACCTCAGTCCACTCACTTCATGCGCTCTCACCTGTCGATATCCTGAAGCATTCTTGAACAGACTCGTAAACCTGGCACTCAGATGAAGCAACCGGAGTGACTGTATTGGCGCTGCTTCAGCAGACTGGCCCGCCATAAGAAAGGGCGCTGAATTAGATTATTTTCTTGGGGTGCCCACGCGGTATGGAAGATACTGCTGGGTCATGACAGCCTGCCCTGCACCACCGACATGGGGCTACTGGCAACTCGGCTGAGATTGGCATCGGGCCCTGAAACGAGTACAGTATAGGCAGTATAGGCACTATAGGGTTTAGGGATCTATATAGGTTATTGGCTCCAGAAGTTGCGTGTAGCCAAGACCGAAGACTGATCCGGACACTTTGAGCACTCATCACTAAGCATCGCACGCGCTTGAAGCCTCCGCTCCGAAAGTAGGGCTTGTGTAGTATATGCAGATGTGCAAGGCCGATGTACCAAACAGCCCACATCCCTTACCCGGGTGATGTGGTGCTGATGCCGGTGGTGGCACTGCGGTGCCTTGACATGCAAGTGAGGAGCGAACATCGAAGGACCATCTTCCTGGCCCTTCCTGCCTGAGACTGAAATTTGCCTCTTTCAACTAACCCCAACACTAATTGAAGTGTTTTTGATAATTCTTGTATAGCCTGTGTCCCACACACAGGCCTATGTCCCACCTTCAATCAAATGTACGGCGCTTGTATGTATGTTTTTCAAAGATAAGTCGGATTCTATGCTCAGACTCTCCAGTCTGCAGTCTGCACGTAGGAAAAAGACATAAATGCGAGCGATTGCGCACGGCCTGATCGCATTGCTCTGCCCAGAGTTTCATTCACGTTGTTTGAGAAGCTGTGCAACGCGTCGCATTGCATGTGTGGGCCTCCCACAAGCAGCTCAGGTTTACTCATGACAAGATCCGGCCAGTCTTCCGCAAAGGCAGGCATCGGGGCCAACCGATCTACGAACTGGTCAACGACTTATTCCGACGGAGGGTGGACCCTACTGCTTCTTGGCCTCCAATGGTGCATCAGAAAAGCCCGCTCCGAAAACTTCGAGGGGCCGTGATCGGAAGCAAAACGCGGGGGCCCTGTTCACAGAACACGACGGCCCCGCTCAGAAAGGCATTGTCAGTTTTTTTGGTTCTCGGCTTTTCAGGCTGTGTGGATTGTTCCGGAGCAGCAACCCTGTGGTTTCAGATCAGGGTGCGGTTGGGGGATCAAAAGGGTGTTGCCCTCTTTGGCGTTGCCTCATTAACCCTACAAGGGTTGAAAGGGGCCTAAAGTGCCTAACGGCCCTCAGCCCAAGGGGGCCCCCACCATGCTCCCACCTCCAAAAGAATGCCGAAGGCCAACTTGCCACCGCTGGAGATCTACTTTCACAACGGCTTCTGGCGGTCGCTGAACAACCGACGCCTTTGGGCTTTAAAAGTGCCTCGCCTTGAACGGCCAGAGCGTTTTGGGGTTTAGAAACGTTTGGAATGTTTAGAACGCAGGTGATGCAATGTAGAGGAGCATCTCAAGACTTCAAGACTCAGTCTCAGGGTTTATAGGCTTTCGAGTTCAGCGCCTGTCAGTTTCTCTAGGGCCTCGACAGAGATACTGCCCAGGCCTACATGGGCTTGTCCGGAGACTTTCAGCTAATGGTGAGAGTGGCCCACCTGCATCCATTCCTCATGAGTCGTAGGAGAATGTATGCCGTGACTCTGTGGGATGACTCTGCCACTTCCTTCCTGCGAATCTCAGGCTTGCATATCCAGATGTAGTAAATCCTCCTTTCTTGAGAAGAATTCAACACATACGGATGGTCTGTCGGTCGAGATCACGGGGGATGAAGCGACGCTGCAGGAGCGTTGCATGCATTGGCAGAGAGAGCATCTGATGACATGTAGAGAATCTGTGAGAATCTGCTTCCCGAATCGCTGCGCAACTCGCGTGGACTCGGAGAGCCCCTCCTAGAGTCCTGCAGGAGGTCTTCTACAAGTCCACTCCGCAGCTTTGCCGATACTTCCAAGCAGGCGAAGGGGAGTGCTTGCGGGGAGAATCTTGGCGAAGGTAATGGGTAATGAAAGCCACGGCAGGCAGTTGGATAACTGTGCCGACCCTAAACCCTAAACCCTAAGCCCTAAGCCCTAAGCCCTAAGCCCTAAACCCTGCCTGAAACTCAAGCGCACAGCTAAGGACAGCTGTCCTTTTGCACATGAGGAGCAAGACGAACAAATTCTTTTGGAGGCGGGCGGTGCAGAACACATTGCTTGCATTATCTCGGGGAAAGGGTGGCTACGAAGGGATTAAGACTCGTACCGTATTCCCTTAGGGATCGGCAAAAAGAGACCCCAAAACCCAAGGGTACAACCTTGAGAGTCCAAGGTACAACCCCTAGAGGCTACGTGAGCCTCTGCCGCTGCACTTGCCCCAATAGGATGCAGGGGCCGTCGGGCCACATTGACTAAGTAACCTGCTGAATGCCGTGCGAAGGAGCAGTACAACTTGAAAGCAGCCAGACAGCTGCTGATGAGGGTCTATGCGATGCTTGGATGAAATAGGGCAAATACCACTTCCAGACCTGAACATGGAGCCAAGTCCACATGACACATTGGAATGGGGTTGGGGACTCACGTTGCGAGGAAATGCCTTGGCCCAGCGTGGACGACCTCGATCAGCGCTGAAGGTGTCACATGTCACTATATGTCAGTTACAAGCTTTGTTTGAGAGCCGCTTCATTGTGTGAAATGCTGTGAGGTTTAGACGGCCCGTGCAGTGCAGCTGAGGAGATTGAAAGTGAGACCGAAGGCCAGGAGGCTCTTGGGGAGTCTTCGCCTTCGAGACCATCAGCCAACACAAGCTGGAAATTCCACTCAGATGCGAGTGGCCTGCAAACACTCACCTCATCTTTAATCTCTTCGGCCGTGGAGCTGAATGGGCAGCTGATGGAGAAAGCCGGATGCTCTACAGGTGGGGTCCAGATGCGTGAAATGACCCTCCGCTACACTGCTACATTACAACAATATTGGGTTCTTCGCGCGGCTCGTGACCCCTGCGTCGGTGCATTTGCTGTCACGTTCCTGTCTACCCCGGCATGCGATCCAGTTTCGCCTCGCATATGCATGAGCATGCCGATCTTTCCGCTGTGCCACGAAGTTGGCGGGTCTCAAATCGGTACTGTCTGGTAGCTTGTGGGCATCATACTCCGGGAAGTACGAACATACGCAGATCCAGGTTTGATGTTGTTCATGGGTTCAAGAGCCTGGACTCAAGCAATCAACCCGAGAAATCGCTCGTGATTTCACCGTCATCGTCAGCATATGTCAGGCCCCTCTGCGAAGGCCAAGCCTACAGACCTTTGGATTCGCACTGGGCACGTTGAATAATCGGTGAGCTGCAGTAATCCGAGGTCCAGGAAGTGGGGAAGCCATTGTATAATATTGTATTCTTACGCTTACGTCTTCTTGTCACATTGTGCTTTGTGCAAGTTTTGAGCGTAGCTGTTTGTGATGCTGCGTACGACTTCGCTTGCGGCATTGGAATGAGAGTTCGGTTTTCAGATGAGACGCGTTCGTGAACATGTCATTCGAGGCACGCGAGGCCAGCAAGGTTGGCGGCCCTCATGAAGAGGCCAGATTTGTGGGTTGCCCTGCCCTGCTACCGACAGAGACTTGCTGTTACTTTCGCTTGCTGGGTTCAACCGCAGCCTACATACATGTACTACGTCGTTACTACGTGCAGAAGACACATTCATAAATATGTATAGATATACTTGTACAATATATACACCTGTAAATAAATAAATAAATATATATATATATATGTATATAATATTACAAGACAAAATTCGTGAAAACACGTCAGATATAACATAAGTATAAATATAAATTTAAATATAAATACAAATATAAATATAAATATAAATATAAATATAAATATAACATATATATATATAGCATTTTACATACAGTGTTTTACATATACTATGCAATGATAACATGATACGTAGTACAAAATGTCATATAATACCCTACAACCACAGAAAGTTACCCATCTGTACATATACCATGCTATTCTCAGCTTTGCCTCACAAGGCTGTGCGGCAGTGGAATCCGCTGGGATTGGGCAGAAAAGCTGAGGCCGCCACGGGATGCCCTAAGTGGTTTGAACTCGGTAGGACCTATTGAGACATATTCGGATATGTATAAGCGATTTACCTATCTTACTATTTTTGCCTTATTGGGTTTGAGAGCACCTGACTTGCTCAGCTTTTTTAGAGGATTCTAGGGGCCAGCCTGGTTTGTGCCGGTTTGTGTCATTCCGCAGACGCGCGGAATGCTCCATCCTACTTGCTGTTTCGTTTCTGTGCAGGAGCCGAGGGAAGACTCTGCAGCTGCTCAGCCAATTCGAATGTGATTCACTACAGTTTCGAGCTGCATTCTGCCGCGTGAGTTTGATCTCCCCATCCGAGACTATGTTTCCCTCCATAGTGCTTTAGCTGTTTCAAGTCTGAGTGATTCAAGAGATAGGCGTTGAAGTTTGCGAAAGATGCGAGCCGAGGAGCCGACAAAGACTGCTTTACCTCAGCGTCGTGCTGACAACGGATCCACCTCTCAGCCGAGAGGGGAGAAGCAAAAGCAGAGGAGCCGTGGAGCGGAGCAGGCGAAGCGAAGCTTCAAGG